TCTCAAGGTAGACCCACTCACACATGCCACACATTTTTGTATTATGAATCAGTTAATGTCAAATTCTCTAAGCCTTTTCAGTTTTTTTTCATCTTTGTGAGCTGTATTATTTGGTTTTAAGAGTATTTTTAAGCACTGTTGACTACTCTGCACACACCAATCCCACCCCATCTCAAATGAACTCAAATTTATGAACACATTTTTGCACTTCCTCCTCTTTGTACACCTGCTTCACCGACAGAGCGCACAGAACTAGGGACGGAAAACCTGCCGCTTTTGTTCAGTTTGAAGCGGCAAAGGTTCCTGCTATAGAGCGGGGTCTTTGAAGTGGTCCGAGCGTGCTCAGTGGAGTGGTCCGGTGTCCAGCCCACAGAGGAGCAGAAGAAAACCACAGCAAAACGCAGGAATTTACAAATGAAAAGAGCAGCTTTTTCTCCTAATGCGATTAAATTTTTCCATCTCACTGCTTCCCCGGCAGAGCTGAAGGAGGCAAGGAGGCAAAACCGGGACTGTACAGAGGAGAGGAGGAGAGAGGGGGGTAAAGAGGGAGGGAGAGAGGGGTTAGAGAGGGCATGGACAGAAGGAATGAGAGAGAACAGGGTGAGGAGGAGGGAGAGAGATAGGGGTAGAGAGAAGGAGGGAGAGAGGAGGGATTAAGGAAGAGAGAGAGAGCAAGGGCATGGAGAAAAAGAAAAAGAGAGGAGAGGGGTAAGAAGGAGAGAGAGAGAAGAGGGAGTAAGGAGGAGTGAGAGATTGAGAGGGGGTAGAGAGAGAGAAGGGGGTGAGGAGAAAAGGGGGGGTAAGGACGAGAGAGAGAGAAGATGAGAGAGAGAAATTAGATGGGGTAAGAAGGAAGAGAGAGAGGAAGAAAGAGAGAGGAGACGGGGTAAGGAGAGATTGAGAGGGAATAGAGAGAGAGGGGGAGATGGGGTAAGGTTGAAAGAGAGAGAGTGGTCAGGGTGGGGGGGGAGAAAGGAGAGAAAGAGAAGGACAGAAAGAGAAGAGTGAGAGGGGGGTAAAAAGAAGAGAGTAGAGAGGAGGGGGTAAGGAAGAGAGAGAGAAAGAGGGGTCGAGAGTGAGAGAGACGTAGAGAGAAGGAGAGAAGAGGGAGTAAGGAGGAGAGAGAGAATGAGAGGCAGAGAAAAGAGAGATTGAGAAGGGGTAGAGAGAAGGAGGGAGAGAGAGCTTTAAGCCATGTTATTATGTTGTTTCCTCATGAAAAACAGACCTGGAGTTGTGTTTTGTTTTCATTCACACATTTTATTTTTAGTCTGTCTACATCTCCAAAACTCAAAATGCTCTGTTCCACCTTGTGATGTCATGGGGCCCAGTCAAGCAGAAGTAAACAACAAAGCCAAAAATTCAAGTTAATGCATCTGATATAAAAATGTATTGAACAGATACATATGTACTCTAGTTTATGAAACTGTTGACCTTTTTTCTGTACCATTTTTGGTTCTAAAGTTCCATATGTTTTAAACAGACCATGTATGAAACATGGAACAAAAATTATTTCCCAAATTTCAAAGACCTGAAAATCATGTAAATAAATGGATGTATTTCATCATATCTTGTGTTATTCCATCTTTGAACTGTTGATGAAGGTACAGGATTTTTCTTTAAAAAAATGTATTTAAAATGATAAAAATTTTCTTGGAAGGACTGACATATTTTATAGAAATAGTTTCCTTTCATTTTGAAGTAATATTAAAGTATTTCAGAAGAAAAAAGCGACAAATTATGTAAAATCCTGCACCTTCTACTTGTTTGCACAATTTTCCCTCTGTTACTTTTCCCACCGTTACCATGAACTTTCTTAATAAAAAATGTCATGACTCAAAAAGTACAAGGTTTTTCAAGGAGAGGACAAGCGATAAGGCGAAGCTGCAAAGAAAGAGAGGGAAAAAATTAGGAGAAAAAAATGGAGAGAAAGAGACAGGAATTTGATGAAAGACTTTGACACTGAACTTCCTCTGAGCTCTGTCATGCACCTGAAGGATTAAAAAGCTGATGATTTCAAATAAAACGCTCATTGATTTAAACAGTCTCCCTTTAGGGAAATAAAGATGCCTGGACTTTTACCTTTTTTATGCTCTTATTATTTTACTCAGAATTGTATTTTTGATTCACTGACGCATGTTTGAGTAATACCAATCTCAAACTTGCACAATTTACCCTCTGTTACTTTTCCCTCCGTTACCATGACCTTTCTTAATAAAAAATGTCATTACTCAAAAAGTAAGAGGTTTTTCAACCTAATCTTGTACCATATGGTAGAAAACTATATGAAGCAAATATTCAAACCAGTTTGTTAAGGATATGTAAGTGAGAACCAAGAGTTATCACTGTTTGTATTTATTGCCCATAAAGTTCTGCATATTTCATTCCCTCCGTTACCGACATGAGTTTTAAAAATTTTTTGTCAACAACTTGAAAGAATATCACAGGTTTAACTTGACCCTGTTGGAGTGTAACTCTTTCCTACATTCTGATACTTTACTTATTTCAATAGTCCCTCTAGTTTCTGAATAAGAGACATTTGAATGTAAAAAATCTGCCCCTGTTTCCCTCCGTTAACACTTGACTGGACCCATTACACAAAACTGACCCTTGTGAGCTTTAAGATATGTTAGAATTTCATTAAAACCTCATCAGAAACATACCCAGAGTTGTGTTTTTTTTTTTTCATTCACATGTTTGAGTAATCCTTTATTATTAGTCTGTCTACATCCCCAAAGCTCAAAATACTCTTTTCCACCTCGTGATGTTATGAAGCAGTAGTTTTAGAATCGATTTTAAGATTTTACTGATCACTTTTAAAGCTTATTTAGGTCTTGCACCCAGTTACATTTCAGAACTTTTAACCCCGTCCGAGCTTCCCAGCCTTAGATCCTCAGGCAGGTCCCTCTGGCTGTTCCAAAGTCCAGGCTCTGGACGAAGTGTGATTGAGCCTTTTCAGTCTGGGCGCCTCGATTTTGGAACGACCTGCCTGAGGAAATAAAGCTCGTTCCATCAGTATCATCTTTTAAATCACTTTATAATAACTACACCTTACTTAGCCTTAATAAAGCATGAAAAAAGACTTAATTAATAATGAACAAAGATTTAATTAATAATGATTCACGCTTAGTAAATGCTTAATAAAGCGTAATTTGTCTTCACTTTAGAAAAGCTCTCAAAAAGACTTAACTAACAGATAACAGCTGCCTGAATTATCATTGCTTTGCATTATTAGTAAATCACTCTCTCATGGCTTACTAATGATTAATAAATGCTCAAATGGTTGAATCATTATTAATTAAGTCTTTGTTCATGCTTTATTAAGGCTAAATAAAGTGTAGTTATTATAAAGTGTTACCATCACTTCTTAAGACTCATTGGCTGCGTTCAGACTGCAGGGCTTAACGCTCAATTCCGATTTTTTTGAGAAATCCGATGTTTTTGCGAGGTCGTCCACATTTCCAATTAAAGGTGACTTGTATGTGATCCCCTGTGTGAACGTTAAACGGGCCCGAAAGTGTCCCGCATGTGCACTGGAGACACGATAACGTCAACCGCAGCGAGCGTCTCTGTGTTTACAGAAGTTGTCCAAACACGGACGCGGAGATTGAGAAGGAGAAGGACGAGGTTTTTGGCTGTGGCGTTTTGTGGGACAGCATCAGCGACGTCCATGTGTCATTAAAAGATCGGATACAGGTCACATAGAAGCCAAAAAATCGGATTTGGGTCACTTCAGGCTGCAGTTGTTATCGGATGGCCTTCCTTTAACTGATTTTAGCTTGATTTTATTCCTTATTTATTTTTATTTCTTTTTGATAATTTATTGGATTGTTTGCATCATTGTCTGTTTTTTTAGCCTTCTGTATGCTATTTTTATTCTTTTTGTATTGTTCTTTGCTTCTTGTACAGCGCTCTGTAAACAAAGTGCATTACAAATAAAAATGTCTGCTTTACAGTTGTTAAAGCCGTGTACTGTTTAATGCCGTCACTTTTAACTCCAGGCTCAGTTCTGGGGCGGTTTTTGCTGCTCTTGAATTAAATTGACGCTGTGACACTGTGTAATATTTTTCAACTTTTTAAAATGACTTTTACTGAAGCTCCACACTCTCATGTTCTTTCTTGAAACTATGTCTTCTTTTTTGTTGTTAGAATCCTGTTAAAAAGTTAAGTTGGCAAAGTAGCTCCTTGTCATATCTGAGCCATAATCACCAGCAAAAAGTCTAAATATTCAGGATACTCTGATGAATACAGGAATATGAGTATCCTGGTTTCTCTGAGCGCATGTAAACACCAAATCCAGAATCCTGTCATAACCGGGATAAGGCTCATAACTGGGATACTGAAAGATCATGTTTTTATTAGTAGATACCAGAGGTGGGGACTTACAGGTCGTGATTTGGATTCGAGTCAGACTTGAGTCACTATTTTTACGACTTGAGACTTGACTTGATAAAATAGACTTGGGACTCGACTTGGACTTGAAGATCACTGACTTGGGACTTGACTCGGACTTGAGGCCTGTGACTTGAGAAGACTTAAAGAGCACTTTTAAATCTGAATTCTGTCTATTCTGACCAAAATGATTCACACTAAGATCTTGTCAAGACATTTAAAAAAGAAAAATTTACATTTCTACAACTTTTACATACTCACATATAAATACAGTGTGATTTTTTAAAGTACAATTTAGTTTAAAATTCACATAAATTGCAAAAATGTAAGCTGTATTTTGTACTTTGGTTTAAAGACTTGAAAAGACTTGAATCTCAAAGCAGATGATTTGGACTTGACTTGGACTTATGGGCCAGTGACTCGAGACTCGACTTGGACTTGCCTGTGTTTGACTGAGGACTTAACTCGGACTTGAGTTCAAAGACTTGAGACTTGCTTGAGACTTGCAAAAACAACGACTTGATCCCACCTCTCGGAGATACAATTAAATATATTGGTCAGTTTTTACAACACATAAATATTTGGATTTGTAGTCTGGAGCTGTGTGAGCTACTTCCATGTCACCTTCTCTCCAGGCTTCAGTTCCCTCCCGAAGAGCAGACTTTTGTTCCTGAAGGCTGTGAGCTTCTCGTCTTGTTTTGTGTCCAGGTACATGTCGATCACAAAGCCTGTGGGCGCCAGGATAAGCACCCAGCGATTCTTAGCGAGTGCTGCAAGGTTCAACATCTTTCCTTATTTTTATCCAGTATTTACGCAAAAGACGAGGCCTCCAGCTCCTCGTTCAGCAGACCAAACACACTCTATGTCAGTGATACTCACCACAATCAAGAAAAGAGACACTTATACCCAACATACGCCAACACACCAAGTCACCTTTGCAAATGTGCATCCCACAGAAAACAAACACAGCCAATGCATTTTCAATTAAAACCATATTTACATTAATACTGAGATGAGCAGAAGCTGGCATGCATGATTACTGTTAATAATCTGCATAAATAAACTCAACTTTACAACATATAAATCATAACCACTGTAGAGCCACATCAGCCTGTTAGAGATTATAATGTGTTTAATGCAGCTTTGACACATTTTGTATACGGCTCATTTGCATAAACTGTAAACCTGAAAAAAAGCAGCTCTTTCCTCATGAAGTGGTTCAGCTTCTGTCGGACCAAAGGACATGACTCAATGGAATATGTGTGTTCTTTCTGTGACAGAGGGGTGTTGAGGATGATGATGATGATGAGTCTGTTTTGTGTGTATATTACGTTGGAGATGGTTCATGTTTTCAGAGATTGTACGTGTGCAGGTTTAGCGCAGCTCTTTATTTATTTAACAGTCGTTTCACTCACTTTATTTATGTTGGTCACTTTAGTTAAATGTTAATCAAGAACATGGACTACTTTTTAAAATGCGGGTCAGGTAGCCAGGCTGGCGCCACCTAGTGCCTCCGCTCAATTTCATTTCTCTCCAGCGACTAGGTCAGGAATCAGAAATACACTAGAGCAGGGGTGTCAAACTCATTTTGGTCCGGGGGCCGTATCCAACCTACTTTGATCCCAAAGGGGCCGGATCAGAAAACTCATGTCATATAAACCCCCCAAATAACAATAAGTTAAAATATTTGTGCAGAGAAACACAAATCTATTACAGAAATCTTTTTAAATTGATGAACTCTTTCTTTTACAAAATATTATAATATTATGAACAACCTGAAACTTTAAGAAAAATGCAGTTTCAACATTTTAACATGAACTTGTTTGCAAATAAGAATAAGTCAATTTTTTAGTTTTTTTTTAAATCCTGCACTCGGCTCCACTTTTCTCATGTTGGACATTTTTCTGATGAGGGTGTCACGGTCAACAGTCAAAACGATCGTCCTTTAAGAGCGTTTGGAAAGAGACAAGTCTTCATTTGTGCTGCTCTGGTGGGAGGGGCCACGTACAGAGACGCTGGAGACGCTGCTGTGATAAACACCACAGAAAATTAACAAGATTTTAATAGAAATATTATTAAAATATTTTAGTAGAAAATCAGCTGAGGGCCAGAATAAGGGTCTTGGAGGGCCGGATCTGGCTCCCGGGCCGCATGTTTGACACCTGTGCACTAGACGGTTCGCAAAAACCCCGGAAGTGCAAGTTTGGGCACCAGCCAATCAGCGAAGAGCCATATATTCAGTGTTGTCAGCGATTCCCGAGATCGAGGATTTAAAACTGAAATAAAGAGAATGTTTGGTGAATTTCATCGAGGGGAAAGACGTTATTGCCCTTCTTCCTACGGGATTTGGGAAAAGCTTAACATACCAGTTAGTGCCGCATTACATACATCACAACCAAATAGCAGCGACTGGTTAAATAAAAAAGTTCCCACCTACCATCAAGCGAATGAATTCTAATGCTGTGAGGTCAGACGGTTTGTACGAAGTGAAACCGGCTGATGAATCAGGCTACGGGTGGGGTACAATATTTAGAATTATTATTATTTTTATTTTTTTTTTTGCGGTCAGAGTTGCGAGTGGGTTAGCTGAAAGCATCGTTGGGTACGGGTTGTTTATACATGGACCCACACATCACTGGTTGCTGGTGTCACAGCGCCCCCTTAAGGAAACACCATTAATTAAGCCTTAATTTATGCTTAGTGTAATGCAAATGTTTGTGTTGCAATGTTCACCATATGTTTATCTAGCTAGCACATTTGAGAAAATAAACTGGCTGTGTTACTATTTTTTGGTATAAGCTTGCGAGCCACCAGTTAAATCTTGGCAAGATGCATTTGGCTCACGAGCCACACAATGAGTATGAGTAATAAAAGAAAACTGGCACAACATGATCACATTCAAGAATCTGAAAATCTCATCCACAACCAGTGTTGGAAAGGTTACTTTTAAAATGTATTCCCCTACAGATTACAGATTACATACCCCAAAATGTAGTTTGTAACGTAATCCATTAAATTACTTAAAGGGAGTAACGTAATCTGAATACTTTGGATTACATTTGCTGTAGAGAAGCAAAGACGAGGAAATCTTCACATAAGATGTTTTGTCTGATAAAAGAAAATGAAAGAGTCTTTACTTAACCGCATTAAAAATATTATTGATAAAAGAGGAGGAGACATGGTCCACGCAGCATTGTTTAGTCCTGTTAAATCCTGGTTTGGACCTGGTTTTAGTCCTGGTTTAGACCTGGTTTAGTCCTGGTTTAGTTCGAGTTTAGACCTGGGTTTAGACCTGGTTTAGTCCTGGTTTAGACCTGGTTTTAGTCCTGGTTTAGGCCTGATTTAGACCTGGTTTAATCCTGGTTTAGATCTGGTTTAGACCTGGTTTTAGTCCTGGTTTAGTCCTGGTCTAGACCTAGTTTAGACCTGGTTTAGTCCTGATTTAGTCCTAGTTTAGTCCTGGTTTAGACCTGGTTTAGTCCTGGTTTTAGTCCTGGTTTAGACCTGATTTTAGACCTGGTTTTAGTCCTGGTTTTAGTCCTGGTTTAGACCTGGTTTTAGTCCTGTTTTAGTCCTGTTTTAGACCTGGTTTAGACCTGGTTTTAGTCCTGTTTTAGTCCTGTTTTAGACCTGGTTTAGACCTGGTTTTAGTCCTGCTTTAGTCCTGCTTTAGTCCTGGTTTAGACCTGGTTTAGACCCAGTTTAAACCCAAAATGTGAAAACAGGAAAATACCACCATGTAATCCATTTATTTCAACAAAGTAACTGTAATCCAATTACCACTCACTGAAACAGTAACTGTAACCGAATACAGTTACTCATAATTTGTACTCTGATTACGTAACTCCGGTACATGTAATCCGTTACTCCCCAACACTGTCCACAACCAACTATGTGTTGTTTGAGTAAATATATTTTTTGAACATTAAAACATTAAAAAACATGTTTCTTTTTTACTTTTCACTCGTGTGTGTCTTTTTTTCTTTTGTTCAGAATTCTTTAGTGGACACTGTACCTCAAGTTAAGTTCAGGTCAAACAGGTCAAAAGTTAATCACCCCCCTCTTCACTCCTCTTTTACATCTTCTCTTTACTCTTGCTCTTCCTCCTCCTCCTCTTCTGTCCGCTGCGGTGATGGATGGCGGCCTAGAAGTGCCAAACAAAATCATTTACTGTTACCCCCTCATTGACGCTGGGACAGTAAAGGGACCCCGCGCTTCTCCTCTGGCGCCTCTCCACCAAAAAACATCACCAGATTTTTGAAAGCACCCCGGCATCGATCACGAAAGGTGCACAATATCTGTCACCCATAACCTTCGGCGGAGACAATGGCGGTGGTTCGGGGTCTAAAATTATTCAATGATGTATTTGAGACTCATTCACAGTTGAGGCCCGTCGGGAGACAGTAGATTTCGGTTATAAAAGCTTCTGAGAGAGCCGGGAGAGGGGTGGTCCATTCAAGAGGGCTTGACTGATGGTCTTTGAAGGTCGTGATGGATGCGTCGCGGGGGTCGGAGGTCAGGGGTCGTGCGCGGGGGGGGGAGGAGAGGCGCGTGTCGTCAAGGAGTCAAGGTCGGGACAAAAGAAAGGACTGAGAGCGAGAGAGAGAAAGAGGGGAGTTAATGGAGGTTTGACACAAAGGGTGAAAGGTCGTGAAGTTGTGGAGATTCAGTGAAAGAAGAAACATGAAATTTAGTGCAGGTTTAGTCGTAAAGTTCAAATCATACTGAGCTTTAAAGGGCCCATATTATGCTATTTTCTGATATATCTTATAACATTTCCTCATACAAACATACCTGGAGTTGTGTTTGTTTCATTCAAACGTTTAACACATGAATCCTGCATATTTAGACTGTGTTCTTCTCTGAAACAGAAAACACTCTGTTCCACCTTGTGATGTCATGTAGTAATACAGGAAGTGCTCCACTGTTATGGAGTACGAAAGCTTTCAGAAATATTTGTGTGCACAGGATGGAAATCCGTGCATATTTGTCTGCAGTTGAACACAAAATAAAAATAATAAATTCATAAACTCTCGAATGAGTCATAAAAAGTATTATGTGTATTTTATCCATCAGAATACAAATTAAAAAGTAATGACATCAAGAATTACAATCCATCCATCCATTTTCTTCCGCTTATCTGGGGCCGGGTCATGGGGGGATCAGTCTAAAGCAGGGACTCCCAGACTTCCTTCACCCCAGACACGTCCTCCAGCTCCTCCGGGGGGAACCTCGAGGTGTTCCCAGGCCAGTCCAGAGACATAGTCCCTCCAGCGTGTCCTGGGTCTTCCCCGGGGCCTCCTCCTGGTGGGACATGCCCAGAACACCTCCTGAGGAAGGCGTCCAGGAGGCATCCGGAACAGATGCCCGAGCCTCAACTGGCTCCTCTCGACGTGGAGGAGCAGCGGCTCTACTCCGAGCTCCTCCCGTGTGACTGAGCTCCTCACCCTGTCTCTAAGGGAGCGCCCAGACACCCTGCGGAGGAAACTCATTTCGAGCGCTTGTATCCGTGATCTCGTCCTTTCAGTCATTACCAAGCTATGGTCAAGAGTTACAATCACGAAATGAAAATTTACAGTTACACTTTCTTCAGTATGAATACGAATTCTTAGATGCAACACGACAAGTCTGTCATCATTTCACAGGTATTATTTATTGAGCAGAAGAAACATCGATGGAGATGCTGGTCTATTGCACCGCATATGGACTGAACCAGGACCAAACCAGGACTGTACCAGGAGGACTAAACCAGGGCTGAACTAGGACTAAAACAGGACTAAAACAGG